CTCGACTTGATGATTAGAATATAATTAATATATTTATTAAGTAATTCAAAACATCAAGAAGCCCCCACTTGTTGTACTCATATGCCAAGGATTTGAAGATGATACCCGAGATGATTGATACAACTCGCATATGGCTAACACCCTCTAGTTGTGATCGACAACGATTCAACTTCAAGAGGACATGTCAATTCCCCCTAGCTTATCATGAAGTAATAATGTCGGAAGTGTCATGAATATGATGACTATTATACGAACAAATCTAGGGGAACCATAGCAACACTATGAATACACTAAGATTATATGCAAAGGGTGATATTTCCTACAAAAATACAAATACAATATGCAACAAACACAAGTACATTTGTGTAGTCAATAGAAACTCAATGTCAAGTGAAATACATTGGTCCCCTGCAAGCAAAGACGGATGATATACAACAAATGTGAGCGCCTACGGGCCGCTATAGAAGACCCTTCATGTACTCCATATGTTACCTACGGGCAAATACAAAAGGATCAAGACAAACATAAGCTTCTACGAGTTGTTGTAGAAGATCCATCAAATATTCCAAAATGCCCTCACACTTGCACTATAATATGTATACACTCAAACACAAAGAAATGCATACGTAATTGTATACCTGCATGGGCCCCAACGAGCATGTTATGGGTACACATGTGACGTCGAGGGATGCTGCGTAGGTTAAATAATAAACCCAAGTTCGATCCCGATTCTTCTATGCAGGTAGATAAGAATCAACATGGCTCGAACCATTAAACAAACACACGACCGTGGAACCGACCGAAATATATATATTTTATAATTTATGTTAGGCTTTAAAGGTTTATTAAAGGAACAATTCATTAACAAAGGCATTAAGCCATCAACAAACCCGGTCCTCTGTTGGCAAGTTGACGGAGTTGACAAGGTTTAATCGACATATAAAAATGTCTATAAATACCCCGATGATGGCTGTGTTGAACGTATATCTCAACCAGAGGGGTTAATTCCAAATACTCTATACTTTCAAATGTAACCCAAATACCCCTCAAACATTCAAAATTCCAAAAATTTCAAAACTCCAAATATTTAAAAATTAAAAGTATTCACCAAAATGCTTAAGCAAAATCTATCCACCATTCGCAACAATTTGCTGAGATGGACAAATCTGAAAATAACTTCAACTCAAAAAGAGCTAATGCTTGGTCAAGAATATCACTAGGATTCATTCACAAACAATCTCCTGCCAATAAGGACGTGGCATGTGTCCTATAACCGACAGTTTTGCAGTAAAATGGCACCGCAGGATAAACGTTATGATCGGGTCCCTCTGAACGGGATGGTTTATCGTTAAATGACATCACTAAATTACGGTTCACTACATTACGGTTATGGCGAGAGCCCATATGCTCCTAATGACATCAAATCCTTGAGATATGAATCAATATGATATAATCGATAAGACACAAAGCCATCTATTAGCAAAGGTAGATCCAAATTTGTCCCATTAGACAAGCATTTTCCCCTAGGTCTATAAGGTACCCTTTGGACGAAGCAACCCATGGTTGTCGACAAGGATCCTTCTGTCAGGTTGGGTAGACTACCTCCTCTGATTAAGTAGACCAGTGATCACGATGGCTCGGGACGACGGAACCATGAGATCTTGATTGGGTCCATCATCCAATCCCCCACCATCTACTTTAAATGCAAGATGGTGAAATTTCTAGTTTTAAATATCAAATCTTCGAATACCCAAACCAATGCTGCTACTATCTGTCAAATAACATGTACCTCTACGTATCTGATCGACGATCAGCCTTAATAGAAAGTTCTCTCTCATTATCGGGAGGGGTAATTAACTATAAGGGCTTGCGCCTATAGGTAATCAGAACTCAAATCATAAAGTCCTCGCAAAATGAGGGCATAATCTATGGGTAGTGTCTTATCTACGAATTCATCAGCCATCCCAAAATTTACCCTGGAACTTAATCTGTTAAAACTCCACCAAAAAGCAATGGGGAGGCCGGTACCGAATTTTCAGAGCCCACACCCTCCTATCTCCTTCAATAGTCTCCTTTCCTCTGCTACAATTTGTAAGCTCTCAATCAACTTTTTAAATAGCTACCTCAAGCCCTTCCTCTTTCCACGTTTCCCTATCACATTGTACTTGAATTTGAAATAGGTTTTAGAGGGCATGAAGGGAATATTTTCCCACCATTGAAATTCAAATATGGAGTGCCACCAAGATATCAAAACACAATTAAAAAATTCCAAATTAAATTAATCAATTAATCTATCTCCTTATGCATTAGCAAGTTCAAATAAATATACATCAAATTCCAAATTATCCCTTTTAGATAAGGATTCAAATAAAGTTCCTAAAACATAATAAATTATGAAATTTAGACTTGAAAATTAGTGAGGAGCCATTTCTCATGTGTGCCAAGCATTATCCATAATACATTGTGCTTGAACTTGAATGGAAGCCTTCTTGGTTGATCTTTCTCTTCAAACTTGCCTTGTAAGAAAGGAGTTCATTCATTTAAGTGAGGGAAATTCACTGTTCCATTGTATCAACATGCATGAAATTAATCGTGATATTCATTCTTGATAATGTTTTTGTGTGCTACATCTAAGGGTGTAAGCGAGTCAAGCTAACTCATGAGTTGGCTTGATCTTGGCTTGATAAATGGCTTGTGAGCTAAGCTCGATGAGTTAATGATCCAACCTTGGCTCGACTTATTAGCTTGCGAGCCAACTTTATTTGTATCCCTTTTATTATTATTATATTTTTAATTTCTCATTCCTTTTATTATTTTGTTGTAATAATTGCTTTATTTATTATTTTCTGTTTTATCATAAACGAACTAGCTGAAACTCATAGAATAATGCTCAAGCTTGATTAATTAATCATGCTTAAGCTATAAGCCAGGTATGACTCTAGCTTGACTTGCCTTGTTTATATCCCTAGCTACATCAACAGTACCATACCTCGAAAAACTATTCTCTATGGAGTTGAAATCAATGTAATATCCATAAAATGTGCAGCTAACTTCCTTGAATTTGTAGTGATCAAGCAAGCTTGATTGAAAGAGATTTGTGCTGTCATGGATGAATCGAAATTCCTGGAAGGTGGTTTGCTTGAACATATTTGCTATTATTTACTATTCTTGGGTGAATAGTGGTAGCTGGAAGGCCTTTGAATTTTTGTTGGTTTGGAAATTCACATGCTGGTTTTTGTGAGCCTGGGGAAATTATATTATGAGTTGAAGTGCATGGAGCTGGTGGAGAAAATTTTTACAATGGTTTAGTAGCAATTCTACTGGGGTATTGTGGATTGGAAAGCTTTTATGTATGAGATCTAATTTAAGGTTTTGAAGAAGTGGAGGTGATAAGGTATCAGCTAGTTGATGTGGAATGTAAGAAAGTTAATTCATTTTATTTTTCACATCTTTCATCATATTGTATAAGTTATCAAAGAGATGGTTAAATTGATCTGATGTGGGTTTCAGGTATGTAAAGTTTTGTTATGGTTTGAACAAATACCCTTTGTGTATAGGTATTAAGGTTCAATGATGATCAACGCAAAATTTATAATGGCTTTAAAAGGAAAAAAATTAAGTTCTTATACACCGCCAACAACCAATAATGTTCAACATAGTGAAAAAAAAATTGTAACATCTTGACCTTTAAGAGGAGATCACCAAAACTTGAAGCTTGATGTCAATTTATAAATGCCTTGATTGTTTCCTTCCTTCGAAATTGTTAAAATAGCCTTAGTTGTCATTGCCTTGGTTGCTAAATATTCCTAGATGATCTGATACAAAAAATTGGTTGTGGTAGGTGGTGGAATTTTGAGGTGGATGGAACTCTCTTTTGGATGGGTTGGTGGAAAGATTTGGGAAGGATTTAAATTTTTTGTGGAGGGGTTGAGAGGTAGTTTGTTATGTGGGATTTATTTCTGTAAGTGAGGTAAGAGGAAGGGCTTGGGCTTTTGCTAGAGGTTGCCGAGAGCATACAAAGTAGAGTTAAGGTTTATAGTGTTCTGGGAGATTAGAGGAGGTTTTTTTTTGAAATTTTATTTATTTATTTTTTTATTTTATTTTATTTAGGAGATTTGAGGAGGCTATGGGAGGGGAAAAGGAGGAATTAAGGTTTTTGGAATAGGTCAAAATTGAGACAAAACCTCTTTAGGATTTTGAGTGTGAAGGGTTGGCCAACAGTTTAAGATGGTTTCTAGGGGCTAACGTAGAGGGTAGAGGGAGATGCAAAGGAATCAAGGGTTTTTGTTTGAGAGGGAATGAAGAGAAAATTTCCTAACCTAAAGAATTTTGTTTTGAAAAATCACCAAGCCATCAAATCTCAAGATAAAAACGTCAAATTGAATTAATCAAGCAATATATCTCATGCATTAACAAGTCTACATAAATATGCATTAAGTTCCAAATTATCCCTTTTATATAGGGATACAAATAAAGTTCCTAAAAAATAGCAATTAAAAAATTTTAACATGAAAAGAAGGGAGGAGCCCGCTGGCCATATGGGTTGGAATGGAAGAGATTACTTAAAATATAGAGAGAGCTAGCAATAACAGAATTGAGAGAGGAGCCTTGGATCAAGCCCTGTATTGTGGAAAACGCCTTGAACTAAGGAGAGAGGGCTGGCGACACCTATTTTGAATGAAGGGAGATAAGCCAAGCATTATTCAAACCGCATTGCACATACATGTGAATGGAATCCTTTTTTATTGATCTTGCCTTCTAAACTTGCTTTGTGAGAAGAAGCCATTAAGGAAGAGAAATCCACTCTTCAATTATATCAATTAGCATGATATTAATCATCATATCCATATTTGATAATGGTTTACTGTGCTGCATCAATGTTTATTTTTTTACTCCTTAGTCTTGTATTGTGATAATTGTAAACATATGGTGCTTGTAAGTTCTTGCATATTTTGTTTGCAATGCCCCTGAGAGCATTTAATGACGAAGTAACTCCATATTATTTTTCAGGTAGAGTTTAAAGAGTATTTTTCTGGTCAAATTCTTCATGCAGTTGCAGAAGCTCCAAAGGAGGCCCTTCCTCAGGACTGTAGGCCCAGTTTTGACACTGCTTGGATGACAAAAATGAAGTTTGAGGTTTGAATTTCCAAAGATGCTGTCTTTTAATGATCTTCCTTATTGAACATATGATGAAGATAAATTATCATCTGATTATTATGATCTTCCATTGAATAGTTGATAAATTTACGGTTAAAAAAATTTCAATGGGTACTTAAATATAACTATATAAGTCTATCCTATCTTTTTTCGGTTCAGTTTATGGTTTGGGTGTTTTAGAAGACAAACATATGAATCTACGATAGTTCACCTACATTGTTGTGTAATAATAAATACTATGTTATGTATTCTACTTTGAGATGTTTATCTTATATATAACAATTGTAAATTAAATTAGGCTGAATGCAAACTAAATTTGAATCAATAAGTATAAATAGGACATTGATGATTCAATAGATTCCTTACTCAAGCTATATTAAGTAAGCCTGTATCATAGACATATTGATATGGAAATAAGCACAACGAAAGAAGCTTGATGCTAGCTCCATCTATGTTAACCAACCAAGACTCATGTCCTTAAGAAAGCAAGAAGGAAAGTGATTAGCTTAGAAAATGATGTAATTTTGTGCAGGTGTTAATATATGCTGTTGTGGAATTGAGATAACTGAAGTAAATTTCAATGAATAGGCTTTCGTTTTAGTGACCTCCTTCCCTCCTTGAAAGTACTTCTCCAAGAGTCGTTCACACACCCAAGAAGTATTCTTGCACGTTGATTTTTTTTTTCCCTTTCAACTGAATTCAACGTAACTTGAAAATTTTTTATTGACTTTATCCAAGTAATTTCAACGAATCAAAAGTCATTTGGTAATTTTATAAAATACAAACATATAGTTATGATATATAAAGTAATGCAAGAATTTATCACTAGAAAACTATTTTAAATTGCATGATACTCGGCACACTTGAGAACTTTTTCGTAAATTTAGCTATGAGGCACATGCCGCATTGCCTGGTACGTGAGGCCTACTCCTCACATAATGTGTGACATGCCTTTGTCATAATTTTTTGAGGCATGCACAATTTATAGTAATTTTTTTAATCAAATATAGTGAATATATTTAATAAAATCCTCTATAATTAACCCTGTACCTCACACTCAAGCCTCACATCTCATGGTCTCTCATTTTCATGGAATACCTGCGCCTTGTCTCCTTTTCTCATGCATGCCTCAACGTCCTTCATGTCCACCATTGTTGATGTTGTCTCTTCCTTGCCAAGTTCTCTTTCTAGACAAGGAACTCTTCCTCGACATCTCTTCTCAATTTTATGATAATTCTGAAACCCTAAAATTTTTCTCTTTCCTAAACTTAATTTCTTTAATTTGGTTTTGAAGGGTTTCTTATTTATTTGAACACTGCATGTTTCATTTATTTTAATTAAATTTTCATTTTACAATTTTTATAAGAAAATGTCAAAGCTAAGGAGAAAAGTACAACTGGTATTAGAAAAGACCCGACATTGCGACATATTGTTCAAATTGATATTGGAGGGAATGGCATGATATATGTTTATCTAATTTGTAAATATTGCAAAAAGGTTATTAAAAGGTTTTTTTTGGCCCTCGCAAGAGTATTGCACCATTTGCCAAGTTATCTAAGGTAGCTAAAGAGGAGATCCGTGCTTGTATGAACAAGTCGACTATGTCAAAGTACTTGGTACAATGATAGTTTGATGAAAAATAAATGTTAGTTTTTATTATGGTAGTGGGCCTAGTGATAAAACTCTTCATCTTCATTGCCACAACTGTCATGTTGAGGTGCAAGAGAACCTATGTATAAATTCATGGTAAATATGAAGGATGACGAAGATGATGCGTGAGGGTAGCCCATAGGATGTTTCATGAAAATGTTATGCAAATGTGTTTTCGTATGAATATTGGTATGTTCTTTTACGAAAATGTTTTTCCATTTAATGTGGCCTGCTACTACTAAATTTATCTCAAGATACGTTACCAAGTAGGTCGGAAGAAAGACAACCTATAGACACTATGTTCATTTGCACACAATGGCTTAATAGTCGTTGATTAAAAAAATAACACAAGTGAAATATGTATAACACAAGCCAACAAAAAATAAAATGAAAATTGCCTATAAAAAGTTAGGTATTTAAATTTCTTTTAAATATTAATTAATATTTTTATTTATAGATTAGGGAAAATAAGATAATTAAGATAAAAATTTGGAGGAAGATTGGGGGAATATTGACAACACTAAAGTTGGGGTGGGGTAGAAAGCAATTCATATATAATGATGATGACTCCAAGGAAGAACCTTTTAGTCATGAGAGTGCTAAGGACTTTTGATTTTATAATTGTGTCTTTTTATTTGTTCTGTTCTTATTTGGATATTAGATATTAGGAGGAGAGATCTCATGTTAAGCTAATATTGAATTATTGGGTTATAAATTAGTTGGCAATCAGTGTAAAATTTGTTATTACCAGGTCCCAAGCCTTAAATATGAAAAGTGGAGGGTTGCGTTAGGTATTCAACAAATAATAAAAAATTTGTTGAACAATCATAACATGAAGCCTTTAATTTATTGTGTTAATATTAAGAAGTTCTTTGGAAGCAACTCATTATATGACCCGAACATAGTGAAAAATATGCAAAGGCCGCTGCACTGACGCTGCAGTGTATTGTTAAATAAGCAAGGGCATCCATATCATGGATGGATGTAGGCTAAGAAACTAGTTCATAAAACTAAAATTAAGATAAGAACTTGAAATATAGGTACTTTTAGAGACAAATTAATGGAATTAATAAATATTATGATTTATAGGAAGATAAATAATCTATGTATTTAGGAAACTAAATGGTTGGGGAAAAGGGCATGGAGATTGATACTTTATGATTTTATTTTGATATTTAGACCGGAGTCGTACTAGAAATGATGAAAGTGTGTTTTTAAATAAGAATTTGATGGATAATATTATTGAGATTAATAAAATTGGAGATAAAATTACAACTTTAAGTATTTTTTTAAATGCTAAGATTCTTAATGTTATAAGTGCTTATGCTTCTTAAGTAAGTTTGAAAATATGTTCAAAAATAAAATCTTAAAATGACTTAGAAGAATTAACATAAAAGATTTCTATTGAATAAAGAGTGAAGGAGATTTAAATTGACATTATTGATAGAGTGGTGGAAGATTTTAAAGATATTTATAGTGGCTATGAGTTTGGAGAAATTAATGAAGGTGATAATACTTTATTCAAGAAAAAAGAGGAGCATCTCATCATTTATAAAAATGAACATGTAGAACTCATATTGATTATTTTCTAATAAAAATAGACCATTTATATTACAAAGATTATAAATTATGTCTGAGTAAAAGTTTATGTACTATCATCGCTTATTAGTTTTAAACTTTAAGATGAAGAGATAAAAAATATAGATAAAAAAAATATTTTTTAAATGATATTCATTATAAGTGGATAAAATATTTTGATAAATTTTTCATTGAATATTGTGAGAATATGATTGACTTTAGTGACCTTAGTATCCTAAATAAAAATAAGGATTTTTAATTTTGTAATTATATTAGTAAAATCAAAGTTGGAAAGGCTTTACAGATGTGAAAAAATAGTAGGACCTGATGATATTTTAATAGAAGTGTGGAAATATTTTGAAGATCAAGGAATTTCTTGACTTAATAAATTTTTTAATATTATTTTAAAGACAAAAGATATCAGATGAGTAAAGGAGTGAGTTGGTTTCTATTTTTAAAAATAAAGGTGATGCACAAGAGTCTGCAAATTATAAATAAATTAAGTTAATGTGTGATACATTAAAATTATGGGAGAGTAATTGAGCCTAGATTATGATGTGATATTAATATTTCTCAAAATTAATTTGGATTCATTCCGGGTAGATCTACTATGGAAGTAATTTATTTATTTAAAGTTTTGATGAATTATAGAGATAAGAAGGAGGATCTGCATATGATATTTATTGATGTAGAGAAATAATATGATAAAGTTCCATGAGAAGTGCTACGGGAGTTTTAGAAAAGAAAGAAGTTAATAATGTTTATGTTCAAGTCATTAAGGATATGTATCGAGGAGTTATTATTTGTGTTCAAACACAAGCTAATTTGACTAAGTATTTTCTTATTTCAGTTGGATTACATCAAGGAACTGTTGCGACTCGAGTTCATGAGTTTATATTTTTGATGATAACAAACATTATGGCTCATGTTTCATTTTATTTTTCATTCTATATTTATTTTGTGTGTATACTAAAATTTTAGGAAAATCATACTCCAAACTACCGAAGACTTCAACACAGATTAGATTAGGGTTTCTTGTAATGAAGTCTGTAATATTTCTATCTTTTTTAGTTTGAGAGAGTGTGATTGTAATTGGATAACCGTGCACACACACTAGGGGAGTGAGTCAAAACTTTAGATTTGTTTAAACAGTTCGTACTATACGATGTATGGTTCGTACAGATGACTCACATAGTACGAAATGTTATCGTACATAATCATACCGGACGAACTTGTTCAGTTTTTAACTGTTCGTACAGTACAATGTCTGTTCGTACAGACGACTGACAGAGTACGAAATCAGGTTCATACAGGATTGTACATGGATTTTTGAACAATTCATATGGGATGATATACATTTTGTACGGATGACAAAATAGAGTTCATACCAGTTCATATAGACAAAATTGAACTATTCGTACTGGACGTATATGTTAGTACGGACGGATCGTTCAAGACTGCATGCGATTGTACAGTATGATCGTAGGATAATTTTCTTGCAATTTTCAAATTTTGGATAGTTTTTCATGTTTTTTCAATATTTGGAGTCCTAAAAATTGTCACTAAACACCTTTGTTGTGAATTTATCTTGAGAGTGGCTATTGAGTGTGAGTATTTGGGAGAGATTGTGAGAGTGAAGTGTGAGAGATCAAGTAAGGGGGAGTTGTGAGGGATTCACAAGGTTGCCCAAAGCGATGATCTTTTTGTCTCCTTCAAGTTTCTGCCCATCAACTCTGGAGGCTCTTAATTGA